CATGGTGCTGTAAGCCGCCCCTTCGACTTGTTGGTCCCCGATATCTTGACTGATTTCGAGAGATCTCTGTAATGATTTTAGAGATTCTGGATAATTGGCAATAGCCTCCTGTACTCCGCCGAGGTTAAGGTAGGCTCGCGCTTCTCCTTGTCTGTCTCTTATGTCTTTGCTGATCTTAATTGCCGTTTCGTAGTATGTGACGGATAGCTCATACTTGCTTAAAGAGTAATACAGAGTGCCAAGATTAGTGTTAATCGTCCCTTGCCCGTGTTTATCTCCAAGAGATTGATAGATCTCTAAGGCCCTCTTATAGTATTCGAGACATTTATCGTATTGGGCTCGAACATGATATACTCCAGCCATATTACTGAGGGATGCACATTCTACATATCTGTTTCCCACTTCTAAACTAATCTCAAGGCTTTTTGTTGAGCACTCAATCACTTTATCGTATTCACCAAGGACGTGATACACTTTTCCGAGACTGCTGTAAGCCTTTCCTTCTCCTTGTTTGCTTTGGGCCTCCTTGCTCAATTGAAGACCTTTTCGTAAGTACTCGACTGACTTTTTATATTGGCCAAGAGCATGATAGACATCTCCAAGGTTGATGTGAATGTTTCCATTTCTTCTCTTATCCTCGACCTCCTCATTGATCACGAGAGCTTTCTCAAAGTATTCCATAGATTTCTCATACTGGCTAAGGGCACAATGAACGTAACCTAGAAGATTGTAAAGGCGCCCCTCTCCACCTCTGTCTTTGAGTGCTTGTCGAATTTCCAGACTTTTCTGGAAATGGGAGATGGACTCTTCATACTGACTACTAGCGAAATGCGTGTTACCCAGCTTTTTGTACAATTTGGCTTCCAATTTAGTGCTACCAGTTTTTTTACTTATCGCAAGAGCATTTTCAAGGTGCTCAATTGATTTTTCATGCAAACCGAGGGCATAGTACACGTCACCAAGATTACTATGAAGCTCGCATTCTTCTTTCTCATGTCCAGATTCCTTACAGATTGTAAGGGCTTTTTCTAAGTACTCACGAGATTTCTCATGATTTTCAAGAGCAGCGTAGACAATTCCAATCTTACTGCAAACAAGTCTTTCTCCATCTTTGTGTCCCGTTTCGTTGCAGATCGAAACGGCTTTTTCATAAAACTCCACAGCTTTCTCATGTTGTTTTAAATCAAGGTAAATGTTACCTAAGTCAATGCAGGATTTCTCTTCCTCTTCTTTATGGCCATTTTCTTGGGAAATTCTCAAGGATTCCAGTAACCGATCTACAGTTTCCATGGCAGAACCAAACCGTGTTTCTCTATGAACGAGAATGAAAATAATTAACACATAGAGAAGACTCCATTGTGCTCTGTTCTGTTGAAAGCAAAGAGGAAGCGGCTAAAGTAGGAAATAGGTGTAGGGGAAAACGAGACGAAGTCGAAGTCGAAGGAACTTGCACGTTGGACCACAGCGTGATCGCAGTCACTCCGACGCTCTGATTTGTTTAACGTTTTGAGACTTTAGTTTTGATACATCTTTCATCGTTTCCATTCCTATACTATACGAGAGTTAGCTGACTGTGTTTGAGTTTCATTACAGCGTCAAAATTAGCTTTAAAAAAAACTTGGATAGTCCATTTCGTGTTCATTTTGGTGTTTTCCTTCTTTTTCTCGTTATAATTTGGTCAATTTCGGCGCTTGGCATGTTTCCAAACTTGTTTTGTGTCTTCTCTTGCTACTTCCATTCGCCACCGGGCTCGGTGTTTTCATCGGTGACTGCTTGTTCCGAAATTTCACTTTCTAGCTACGTGTAAATTGTGTTGCTACCCACAGGTTGTTATGTATCATTTGAAGTTTAAGATATTGTTTTCAAGGTTCGCTTTCTGGGTCAAAAAGAAAAAAAGGGGAGAAGTCAGGGAATTGGCAGGCCAATGTACAAATTGGTCGATGGCGTGACATGATTACTCAGTGCATCTGCACTCTGATAAACCACGCTGTTTTAGACAATCAGAACCCGCTTCATATTGAAACTTTATTATAATATGTTTTATCATGTCCAAGTAAAGCATCTCCGATTTCTATCCTTCTGGGCAGTGCGTCAGAACAATCGCAACATATCCAAACGACTTTTGTATGACAAATACATGCTCTATGGTCCTAAATACGAGGCAACAGGAACCTGTAGGGATAGTCGAGCGAGCAAAAAAACAAATAGACATACAAATAAACCTAGTGATAGATTTCCTCGTTGATGGCTTCATTGAATGATACAACTGCAGTCATTAAACTTTCCCTTCATCTTCTAAGAAAAGAACGAACTAACGTTAACGAAAGCATAAACTATGCCTTTGTTATGAATGATTCATAAGCTGACCATCTCAAGGGGTCAAGCTAAATTTAAGTCTTTCAAACATGAATCAGAACAGCTAGCAGCATTTTCCCGGTTTAAAGAGGACCAATTGATAGCGAATGGCGAGTGCATGAGAGCTATTCGGAAAAAAAAATTCCCAACGGCCTTTAATATCTACAATGTACGTCTAGATTGTCTCAAGGAGAAGTAAGAATTTAACTGTCACGAAAAACAATTAAACAATTGTCTCTTCAGTTATCCCTTCATTTTGGGTTACCAAAACTGATGCTCAATCTTTATTTTTATTTAGATACTGAAATTTGTAGGACACAGACTGCCGCAAAGTCATCCATAGGGCTAAACATAGACGTTGTCATGAAAAATAACTATTCGACGATTTACTCTCGGATTGACCCCGTTGAGCTCCTCGTGAAGTTTGTGATACACTGGTAATTAAATACTCTGGCGATCGGTTTGAGAAAAAATCGTAATCCAAAAAATATTGCACTTTTAGCAGTGAAGTTGTTGTATTTGGTATAAAGATGTTCATTACATGGTACGTTTTTCGGTTTTTGAGTTTGCAGTGGTTCCTAAATTCTATGCTAGTTGGATGGAATGCTACAGCGTCACTTCTCAGAAATCTGTAATGTATGCAGTGAATTTTGCTTCAAAATTTCGTTTACAGATCATGAAGAAAGCCACTAAAGGGGATACAAATCTAAAGAAAACTGCGTGTCACCAATCCGCCACACATACGATCAGAAGCCAGATCAATTCAAATTTCTGTACATGTAAACAAAAGTTTCGCTCAAGCATTACTGAGGAAAATTAACATAAATTCATTCAAATTGCTTGTTAGATGGAACAATAACAGAATTTAACTTGTAAAGAATGAGCTGTAAATCAATAAGTCTTGAAAGTAAAATACAGACTCCTTCTGACCTTAATTGAGAACCAAGTCAGGCCCTCCAGAGTTTCAACAAGGCTCAGTTGATCGATTATAGCTGTCGAGAGAAGGAATCAACTATTAGTCCTCGATTACAATTATCAGTAATTCTAGACTAGTGATGCTACATGCCAACCCTTATTTTTATTTCGATGTAGTAACACAACGAAATAGATTGGCCTTGGAAAAATATCAGTTTCATGATGAAAATTTATCTGTCAAGTTGTTATGATAAGCAACGATTTGATCGCAGTTAACCTTTCTGATGTACATGGTAAATGACTGTATGCTGCATATTTTAATATAACGTTTATCGGTACCCTTAAAGTGCAATGATTCACGACTTAACTAATACGGAAGCTGTATCATTTGTCATGAAAATACGGACTACTTTCCGTACGATTTTGCCTTAAATGAACGACAGTTCACTGTTGGTGTGCTGGTTACGCTTTCATTATACTTAATACAGCACTTCTCTTTCATCGGACGAAAAGGAGTAAGCGTTCTAGAACAAACTATTATATAATTGTAACAAATTTGGGCATGGCAACTTCTTACTAACCTGCACGCCGTTATGAACCTTTTTTTGCCAAGATGAAATGTATAACTCCACGGAGACCGCAGCGAGAATCGAAAGTGAAACTCTTCCCCATGAAGTCTCCGTAATAAAAACAGGAAGTATCGCCATTATCAGTCTTGGCCACAGGACTCTCTCGTTCGTTTATCAGGTGGCGCCATGGGCACGAAAAAGTAAACAGTTCCCGTTCCCAGGTTTTTCGGCAATTTCAAAACGAATAAGAGTGGATATAGTCCTGTTTGACAGAGAACGAAAACGAAGGCATAACTTCCTCTTCATCACTTATCACACTGAGTAGAAATGATTCAATTATTTTTGGTTGGAATGTTCGAGTTAACATCAATATTTAACTGAGAAAAATCCTTTATGTTTCTCAAGAGAAGAAGGATGATTACAGTATTTAAGTTTCTGAGTTGGATTGTAAACTTCTCCATATTATGGAAACGCTGAGCAAACTGCTTCATTCATGATCTCTAGTAACTTCTTTTATTTTCAATGCGGAACGGTTAATCGCAGCATTAGCTCGTGAAATCATTAAGAATTCACGTTTGAAATATGACAGCGGAAACTGTCATGAAAATTCTTGTCATGTCAGATTTTATTAAGTAACCCTTTCTACAACTTAGTGCCTATAAACTTCAGCCGTAAAAAAGCTCTAACGGAAACCTATTCTTTAAAAACTGTTCAGTCATTTATACAAGAAAGGGCCAATTGGTGAAAGAAAAAAATTAACGGAGTGATTTTTCATGGTCAGATATCGAGAGAAAGTAGTAACTAGGAGAGCGACAATAGAGACGGTGGCTGGGATGAGTTTAAAATTTCTGAATTCTGAATTACTGATTAGTTCATTTTACAGTTGGTGCTTAGTTGCCAAGCTATTGAACAGGAGTGAGGCTAAGGATGACCTTGTTATGATACAAACCTTGCTGCTTTTTAAATGTTAGCCTAAGTGTAGCCGTGAGGCTGAAGGTGACCTTGTTGTGATAGAGACCAGCATCTTGTTAGCATGATAACAAAGTAATTTAAATTTGAATAGCCTACGTGTATCCGTACTCTCCACCGCAAGGGCAAACGGAAGCGAGGGAGAGGGTGCGGCTACACGTGGGCCATTCAAATGTAAATTATATAATTATCATGCTAACAAGATACTGGTCTCTATCCCAACAAGGTCACCTTCAGCCTTACTGCAAATCAAAGGCTTGGCAACTGAGTACACGACTGTAAAATGGTCCATTAAAATACTAAATTACAAGCTGAATGAAAACAAGTTAACAAAATGTACACATCTTATGAAGATATGAAAACATGTAATGTTCGCCTTGATAAAATTAATGCTAGTCTTAACTAACAGCAAGTGCACCTGATTTAACCAACGATGGTACGTTTAAAATGTTCTAATCATCTAAGTTAAGCAGCTAAGGTAGACCCTGGCTCTGTTCCTATATCATTCCTTTGCTGGAAGTTAACTAGTTTTAAAGTGTCTATAGCTCCTTTTTTCATCACTGCTTCATCATAAGTAACTGTTTGTTTTAACATTTATACTGTATTCTTTGCTTCTGAGACTCCGAGATAAATGAGTCCCCTTATCCCTAAACTTTGTCAATCCAGGATCCTTTTTCATCTGATCGAGTTTCGCATGCCACTGTGAAAGAGCCGGCAAGGAAATCCGGGAAATGCCGCTTGTTCTCCTTCCTCCATTTGATCCGGCGGTTCTGGAACCAGATTTTGATCTGTTTTATCATGGAGATAAACATACACTTAGTTATTTGCTTGGCAACAAAACAACTCATCAGAACTAGGGCAGGATTATCGTTAGACTTCCTAAGAAAGAACACGACCGAAGATACACCATAGAGGCGTTCGAAATATTACTCCAGAGTACAGTATAATACAGACGAGTTGGAGAGGTTCAGTGGATAGAGTCGTCTGATAGTCTGGGTGAGTCGAGTCGGTCCAGTAAGGCCTGTTGTCACCGGCAATGTGTGACGTTTCGACAATCTGAACAGATTTCATCATCCAGGTCAGACTGTCGAAACGTCAATCACTTTCACCGACAAGATTATATGGTAAGACTACGTGAGTACATTAAACAGCCCCCAGAACTTACAATAAAATAATAGGCAGACAATTAACTAACTCACGCATTCTAATGAGCTTTGATGTCTGAGAATTTTTTATGCTCGAGTTAGTCACGTACAAACGTGTGTGCGCTTTTAACAGACCCGTTTGACCGAAAGTTTTTTCCCTCTTGTATGTGTGTGGCCCGAACTATACACATTGTTACAATGTTTCCTTGTAACACTAGAGTAACTCATGCCTACCTGTGTCTCTGAAAGATTGAGCGCCTCCGCTAACTGCTGTCTTTCTGCGCCTACAACGTATTGCTGGTCAGCAAACTGCGATTCCAGTCGGCTCAATTGATCACAAGTAAAAATGGTCCGTTTACGGCGCTTTTTCTTGAAACGCTGCTGTCGGTTAAAACCCTCTCTACCTACATACAGACACATTGTCAATCAGTTAAGGGGTTTAATTTCTAAAGAAACTGCGATGCTGCAATGTTGGTGGGGGAGGGGAGGGCGGGGGTATTGCAAGATGATTTGGTTTTATCCACTGAGTTGACAATAAATTAGCCACAGGAAAGAATTGCCACAGCTGACGTTTCGAGCGTTAGCCCATCGTCATTCCTTGCACCAGCTTTACAATCTCTCTACGGTGGCGAGTTATATAATAAACTTAGACGATAAAACCAAGTCACACTGTCGATCAGAACAGTTTTAGTCATTTTCAAATTTACAATAGATCACATAACACTTAGTCTGCCGCGCCATTCAATCTGTGTGAGAGATAGGTATTCAGCCGGTCATAAAAAAAAACATGGTCGCTATCCGGTTTAGCTGGCTTACACAATTTTCCCGCGCTTGCTTTTTGTCATCTGCGCTCTTAGCTTTGAAATTAAAAGTTAGAAGGGCTTTAAAAGCTACTTCGAGCATTGCTCAGGGAAAATGCAAATTTTTTGTATAAAGAATATTTTGTACTTCACAAATACACGTGTAATGTTTTTTAATTACGCAGCTTAATGTGTTTATTTGTAACTTAAAATTTCTTTGAGAACTTTCCCGTAAAGGTTTTACTTTTTATTTTTTTGATTTATTCAAAATCTTATTAAATCCATGATTGCCCAAGATAATATCTTTTCCTTTTGTTTCCTTGGTTTCCTCGTTTTTTTTTTTTAATTTTTTCTTCACTTTCTTTTGAAGATTTTAATTAGTAATGCGGGAATAAGCTAACAAATCTTAGAAAAGAAACTCCTTTTTGTTCTCTCATTCAAGGTAACTTAAAAAAGAGTCATATCTTTGCCAAAAAATGGTTTTTGACTGAGTATACGAATCTCTTAATAAAGACGTAACTTTCAGCCTGAACTTGCTAATGATAGCGTATGCCGTAAAATTAGACATACGGGCAGGAACTAATTTTTAAAATTAATAAATTTGAGCCTACCACTGTTGGAATTATTGGCTTCCCTGTTGATTTCCCTTGCAATTTGCACTTGTTCTGTGTCGGTGGTCGACGGCTGGAAGTGACGAGAAGACACACGCATTTCACTGAAGGAGTCCGCCGCGAGGCTGTACGAGGGTGAATGCAAAGTCAGCACAGGATTCATGGGAAACTCCAAATGGGAATCAGGGCACAGTTCCCCCGGGTAAACACAATAGGGCCGAAGGGGTATGCGGCGATTCCCGGGCAGGGAGCACAGGGAGCAGACAACCCGAGTTGGGTGAACCGTCAAACCATATCTGCTGTTGTGAAACATCTTACTTGTCGAGTGTTACGCTTTTGCACGGGCGATGAATTTTAAGACGCAGTTCGTTCCCTTAGAAACTGTGAATCGATCGTAAGAACTCATAGTGCAATTATCGTGGTATCGCTTACATAATGAAGCAAAAACACATTTAAACAGTGCCTTTCATGGGAAATGATGAGATTTCGCCTCTTCTAAGTGTAATCATATATTTGTTAGCCATCACGTAGACAATTTATTACCGACCTTGATCGAGTAGAGCACAGTTTTTTCGGTTCTCTAATATAGATGACTTTTCTGTCATCATTCTATTTAGAGATTCTGCTCGTGGAAGTTTAACCGCTCTTAAATCTATTAATTTCTGGTGTTATGATTAATTACCAGTGAACCAGTTTTCAATGTACACATGTCAAAAGATTATTTTATTGTTAAATGGAACAAAGGTGAATCATAACTACGGAATATCCCCACTGACTGGCGCCATTTGCCGTAACACAATGCAACTTGATTTGCGCTCGGCTACGTGGTTTTAAGGCTAATCTCAACTCAGCTGCGCATACCATTTTCCTGTTCAAAACTTTATAATCTATGGATCTCTATTTAAAGTATGCATTAATCATGTCGGTATTATAGGAGACAGAAGCGTGTTTTTACAACTTTCTCAAAATTTAAAGCAATCTTTGTTTCTCCGTGCAATTTACATTATACTCGCATTTCTTTGTTTTTTAAAATTGTATTTTGAACGATAAAGTTTGCGTTTAATCGCGTTTCCTGAATTAAACTGGACTTGACATTCTTAATTAAAATCATGGAAAATTGATCCGTAAAATTAGGATACTTCGCTGAAAGTGTCTTCTCTAAAGATCTGATTTATTTCAGTTATTTGTAACTATAGATATCAATCAGAAGTTCTTAATAAAATTTTGTTGTTAAACGCGTTCGTTACAAGAGATTGTAATCTCTTAGTACGTTAGCAAACTGTTGAACTAAAAATTGTGGTAAATTTGATGCTTGTGGTAAAATTAATGCTTCAATATACTATTTACTCCTAGAGTAAAACAGTAACCTATAGGTGAAAACCGATTTGTCTCTACCTTGTTTACTTATGTTGGAGGCCACACACAAATCATGAAAACATAGCAGCAAAAATGAGAGCTCCGGGTAAGCTCGTTTTCAATAGCTCCAGTTTACATACGCGTATTAGCTAGATTTAACGCCACAGCGTTTATTAAATATTAAGCGTTTCCAACGCAGTGTTAATTCAAGAGCGGCAGTGATTCGCGTGCGTTGTTTGTCTCAAAGTCACATTTCTCAAACCACTAACAACGATCACAACAAATCACTTTTAAATATTATGTGAAACAGAAACCTGTTTAAAGTTCCAACGTAACGCTTTTTTCGCAATATGAATTTCCAGGGACTGCAGGATGATGTTGATTATTGCATTCTCTTGAAATGGTGCGGGTTTATTCGAGGCAGCCGTTAGTGGTAATTTTGCTTCCATCCGCGGGCGTTCATCCAAGGGCGGCATTTGATCTAGAGTTTCTTAATCAGATTAAATGAATGGTTAAGGAACATTCACGTACCAGGCAACCGATGGAAACCCTCAAACCCTTACCAAAAACAAAACAAAAAACAAAAATAAAGCACACACGTTTCTTTCGATCACCAATTGAAAATTGCTCTTAAAACCAGTTACTGTTTTCGCGATTCAAACATGCCTCAAACAACATCCTGTTTTTAAGAAGAGTCTTAAAATCCTGGTTTTTTTGTTTTTTATGTTTGTTTTTTTTTTTGCAATGACACCTCTAGATGCATCAAACTCGCAATGTTTTACCCACTGTTTACCAACTGTTTATTTTCATTCTTCAAAGCAAACAGGCGTATAAATATAAATGTCACTTGAATCCTACAGGTTTATTTAATTAATAACTTGCATTCTCATTATCAGCACTTTTATTCCTTCAATAAAATGTAATAAATTTGAAAACAAGAAAGACAAAAAACATTTCAAATTCTGCGAAGAGAGCTGATGCGCCATCATAAATCTTAGCGAGCATTTCTCTGCCTGGAAAAAATTGTGTTCTTTAAAGTATCTTTATAAAGTATTTCTCGTTTTTTCAGTGTTTTCTCAACAATTTTTCCCCTCTTGTATCCCATGTGACCTAGAAAATGTTAAAAGACTCTTCAGGCACTTTTTTTTTTATTTACTATTGCCTTAAGAATGTCTAATGCTTATGCTTTAGGTGCAGATCAATGGCTAAAAAAAACCTCAGCTTGTGATTATACATTGCCAAAAGAAATAAAAGCTTGTTGATCTAGGTAATGGTTTGAATGTTTTTCAGTGTGAATTTATCCTGCTCACAGAACTGTCTCGCGGAAAATGTCTTCATAGAAAGGGCTGACCTCTCCACTTTGCTCTTCCAGATCTGCTTCCTCATACAACTTAGACAAATGTCGTGACTTCCATACTCGGATTGTGTGGTCATCACTTGCACTGACCACCATTTCTTGATTAACAGGGTTAAATGCAACACAGTTCACCACATTAGTATGTCCCTTTAGAGTGGCCAGCTTGGCTCCAAAATGTCTGTCCCACACATGAGCACAATGGTCCTCTGCTCCACTATAAAATAGAGAGTAATAAAACTTATGTGATCTCTATATCAGGGGGGAGGGGGTGTACTTCCCAGTAATAGGCTAATGAGGATGTGCCGCTGGATGGGGTTGCATTTTTGCCACTGGATTGACTACCATGGGGTTACATTTTCAATAAAGTTGCTAGGATGGGGTCTAACATTTTCAGGAAGGAAAATTTTGGTGAGAAAGGATTTTAAAATGTAATGTTTTTAAATATTCATAGTAGGCAAACATACCAGAACATTTTTGTTGTAAGTGAAAAGTAAAGTTTAACAGAATGTGTCGATTCATTTTATAATGACCCACTTAAAATGCTTTGTAAGATAGATGCATAGACAACAAGTGACAAGATGGGGTCTATGATTGGCCACAGAACAGACTCTCATGAGGTATGGATTCTGAGAGGTCAGACAGGGATCCAGCCAAAATTGATCCATTCCCTTCCTAGTGTTTATTGTCTTTCACATTCAAATTCAAGAATTGAAGTAAAATTTGAAGACCTCCATATAGGAGTTTGAGTTCTTTCCTTGCACCAGACTAATTACTTTATGACCATGTTTATGCATAATAATCTTTCTCTTATGCCAGATCATGGTTAGGGTTGTGGTATTATGCTGTTAAAGTTTTGAAATGAAAGGATGTTGTTGAAAAGTATGGTGCTTTGTATTAAGTTTTTGAGTCTACAGGTGTATGTTGTCAGTACAGCCTACTGTGCGACATCCTTTGTTTATCACATGAGTAGCTAGTAAGCCATGCAAATTATGGTGAAGGTAATACATTATTGGTTAAGCTCATTAAAGGCATATGTTTTATTGTGATGCCAGTGAAACCCCTTTATCAGCAACATCTACATTTTACCTTTAATTATTCCAACAAGAATGAATTCTCTGTTGCTTAGTGGCATACGTATGTTGTGTCAGATGATCTTAAACTCAAAGGACACTCGGGTTTGTTCTAATCTTGCAATTCTTAATTGATCTTTATTTTAGATTCTTTAACTTACCTTGCAACCAACTGGTCTGCAACATTCAAAAAAATAAAGAAACAGCCATTATTTGCAGTGTATGCTTTATGGCCACTGTGGACATCAACAAGTTTATATGTGGACAAGCTGTACACCTGCAAGGTAATATCATTGGAAATTTCTGGAGGAAATTGGGCTGCGTCGTCGACAACATTGCCAGCTGGCTGCTCCCACATGCGACAATTCACGTACAGATACTGATGGTCTGGTGATAGGCTCATGCCGATTATATGTGCATTTGTTTCAATGTAGTGCTCTTTCCTGGTAAAAGGCTCATACCCCTCAGAAGAAATTCCTTTACCCTGCTCAAATTTTCTTGTACTGCCCTTTGGTAATTTCAGCCACTTAAAAACTATCTGATGAGGGACATAGGTAACAGTTCCATGTGTAAATATCAGGCAGACATCCTCATCTTTCTTCTTTGCTGCAGAAGCATATGTGTGTGGTAGAGCATTAGCATTTGGGTGAGCCACTAGAACAGTCCTCACAGAGCTTGAATTGTGATTCAAAATTTGAGCTAGGTTCCTTTGATTTTCTGTTGATTCATCCACATAATTTGCCCAAAGCTCGGAGATTGATGACCCATCATTTTCAGGTTCCATAAATTCAAATGTCCCTGAGATGTAACACCTTTCTGTAAGCCATGCTCCAAACACATCATACGGTTCATTGTTTATACCATGCACTAAAGCAATCACAGAAAAGTTCTGTACTTCACAAATGAAAATTTCACCTACAAGAATAAAACAGAATTATGGTAATTATTACCTATAAAAACTGAGATTGCAGACTCTTTGCAAGGCACTTTACTCTCTCAGTAACACTGCAAGAGAATACATACCATAAGGCAGCCTCATGTGGGTTTATATTTAAATTAAGAAATGTAGTATCAGAGGATTCTAAAGAGGAATTTCTTCCTTCAATATCAATACATTTTTAAGCAGATAGGTGACAAGGAGTGAGGAGAAAATTGATTATTGGCTGGAGTTTGATAAAGCATCAAATTCTCAAAGCCATAATAATGAGAAATGTGTGAAAAAAACAGTACAGAGAATAGATAATTTGATCATGGGAGTGAATCTCAAAAAGTCCAGGGTATCAAAATGTACTCTTGAATTCTGTGAACAGTGTATATGTACACAACAAGTACACAACCTGTAGCTGATGGAAAATTTCCCAATCTCTGATACAAAATGATTACCTTGGTAAACCCTTTCACCCTCAGGATCACATTGTTAATTCTCCCCTCTAACTGCTACACATTTCCTTGCAAATCAGTGAGAGAATTTGGTAGCAGATCATTACCAGTGTTTGCTGTTCAGTAATGTATTTATAACATAGGGAGAAGTTGCATTTTAATTGTGTATAGGAGTTAAAGGGTTAAACCTACCAACCATCTTACTCCCAGTAAAGACAGAAATAAAAGGGAATTTTTCCTAACAACATACATGTAATTACATTGTCAAGCAGAAAAAATGATGCATAATATATCAACTTGGGAACATTTTTTTGATTCAAGATAAAATTCTCAGAACTAAAGAAGATGTAAAATCAAGTCCTTGACTCAAGTCAAGTCCTTGACTACGCAGGATGTAGGTTACAGACACTTAGCCTACAATTAACTTAATGATCAAGATCAAGCTGTATATTCTCCTAGAGAGCTTACTTTTGGGGCATCAAAAGGGTATCAAAATAACCAGTGAGAAGTTCATACATGTACATGTAGGTTTAGTATCTAATGGTACAGAACAAATTAAATCTTTTTTTCCTTCTTATCTGAGTACAGGTATAAAATAGTACAACTGTCCCTTCATTGACCGAAAAACCAACATGTTAAATTTTTACGGTTGAATCTGAAGGGGTAGAGTTTACATGCATTCATCACATGATCTTTCTAGTATAGCAAGGAAGAGGGGGTTAGGAAAAAAATTGTTTCCTATGCAACAAGCCATCATAGGAAAAAAATATAAAAACGAAAGCATACATTGTTTGGAATTTCAATAAAAACAACCCTTACCTGTATAGCTTAAACGCCGTAACTTATTGACTCCTGATACAAGAAGTAATGTATCGCTTGCATTGAACTCGCAGAACTGAACATATTCCCAATTACGCTCCTGAAAATTAATCTTTTGCGCCATACTGACACATGTACAACTGGAAACGCGCCATAGAATTACACTACAGTCTTTGGAACTTGAAGCTAACAACTGACCATTATGAGAAAAGGTTACATGAAGGACTTCATCAGTGTGTTCTTCAAGTATCTGACTTTCCACGAAAGGCGTTTTGTAGTGGATTCTTTGAAATTCCTTTAACCAAGAGGACGCCGACTTAGGAAGTTTCAGTTTGATCCTCTTGGTGCGGTCTGGAAATAAAGTTTCTTGGAGCAGTGATTTCCAAAGCATCTCGTCCTTGGACAGCCGATACCAGTTGCGGCATACTTGACCAGCGTTTAAGGCTTCTTTAGGAGAAAGGAAAGAAAAAATGTCTAGAAGAAGATTGTCAGGAAGTTCGGTCCAATAAGCCTTGGCTAATGATTCGTCCAACAACTGTGGTACAGCTCCGGGAACGGATAATTTTTTGTGATCTCCGTCTCCGATAAAAGACATTGCTAAAAAGCATTGCCCTATAAAATGCTAGATCTTGGCGGCTTTTAATAAAAATTTATTCGCAAAATAATCTGAAAGCGCACTGGCCGCCATATTACCGATTGTTTGGGCTTAGGTAACCACGCAATTTATTGCTTACGCCTCACCCACCCCACCCATCGTGATGGAATTTAAAACGAGAACTTTATCGGCCATTTTGAAGAACTCTGACTAAGAACTCTATTTGAAAGTGAAAGCTTCGCGACATAGCCGTTTAACGAAACTTTTCTCGGCTCCTCTTTCTTTATAAAGCTTAGCTACTCTTCTGGAGTAGCTGGGATTTCTGAAAATGATGCAGGTGTCCGTGAAGACGCTGGATTCGCAAACAAAAGTTTTCACTGTTTCAGAGGAGGTGAGACGATTTAATGTAGTCGGTACAGAATCACAGCGTTCTGGTCGTTTTGTCGTCTCTTTCCCGCAGTTCTGTGGCTCTGTCTTCTTCTCTTATCTGTAGAATTTCTGTGTTATCATACAAGAGTTCCTTTTACACTTTGCTTTTATAGTTCTTTGTTTATAGCCTAGGTTGTTGTGTTAAATTCAGTTCGAAGGTTCAATGATTTAAAGAAGTCGAATTGCGTTTCAATTTCATCCATTTTTTTTCCTCGACAGTCCTCTGTGAAAGACTTTAAGGATCAAATTGCTTCCGATGTGGTGAGTATTATTGTAACTTGTGTGCGAGCTGCTGGTAAAATGTTGGTAAGCGAAAACTGAAAATGCAATGACACTAAAGCCAATATGGCTGCCTAGCTCGTGCAAAGGCGTAGCGTTGTTGGTCACGATGACGGAAAACATAGGTGTGAAGGAGTGCTACTTAAAAACCATCTTCAAATTTGTAATTTCCCAGTTAAAAAGTTCTCTATGACAAGGAAAACGTTCCTAAAATTATTGCTTTTCCGTTACTGTAGAAGTACTTAAACAAGGAAGTCATTTTTTGCATATCATTGAAATATAGGTTGCATAAGTTTCCGGTCTCCTCATTCGGTTGCGAAGCTCCATATCAGACGTTTTCATTTCTCTTCCTGAAAAGTGCATGGTGGTTAACATTTGTACATACTAGGTTTAATCATGCAGTTTTCTTTGAGTGTACAGTTTTGCAATGTACCGTGTCGTATCATTCGTTTCTCAGAATATACCCTCTGACAAGCAAAGACTTATTTTCAAAGGCAAGGTATTGCAGGATGATAAGAAGCTTTCAGAATATGGTAATTATATTTTTTTATTACATGTACAGTTATACAGATGTGCATGCAAGGAACCATATGAGGTGATTACATGTATCTGAACTCTTAATGTGTAAATGTAATATGTCATCTGATTTCAGTCATTCCTGAAGCACAAGATTACCACAATGTACAGTAAATTTAAACACTTTATTTACTTGCTTAAAAAGCATGCAAGTGAAATTACGCACATAAACAAATAATATTTCATTGGTTTTCAAAATGAACTGAGGTTTATTTTTTAATCAGCTGAACAAGTTTCAGTTTTTGCTATGGTACCTTGTTCATTTGCACCTGTGCTGTTGTCTTTCCATGTTTGTGGAATTAACTAGGGAATACGCTTAATGCATAAACAAACTGCTACATGCAACTTATGTTCTGTAATGTGTACCTTTAGGAACAGTTTACTTGAATGTAATGATATTTATGGTAATTGTTCATCAAACAGGCGTTGATGGTTGCGTAATTCACCTGGTTGAAAGGAAACCTCCACCTCTTGGAGCAAGTTCTCTAGGTTTGGAAAATTGCATGTTTATGTGTATGTTGCAGCTTGAAATTTAATTCAGTTTAATATTACTATTTCAAATTTACAAGTGCAGTTGTAGCTTGACTAGTATTTTTCCTTTGTACATGTATGCATGTAAGAATCATTGCAATCTATTCCAACAAAGGAAGACAAATCAAACTAATTTGGAGTCACTTTTACTGAAATTTAATTTGAACTACAACATGAACATCAAAACAGTTTTGATTCTTCCAGTCAGACTATTTGAATTTTATACTATTATAATTTTGTTTGTCAGATGGCCCCAATAGCTCTAGCAGCACATCTACCAGTTCATCAGGAAGCCTGCCTCTTGGAGTCGGCCCTAACATTGTCATGGGAGCATTTTCCATGCCAGTTGATGTAGTAGGAGCTACTCAGGTAACCAAGCAAAGTTTTCTGTAGATGATACTAATCAACCATTAGGTTGTGTATCACAGCTATACACTGATAGAACATACTTAATCCTTTCTAGGATGCTTTTTGGCAACTTAAAATCATAAAATGTTTGGCTTCAGTTAAAAGATAAAGACCTCTTTTTGCAATTTTGTAACACTTTGTTTACTGCTGACCATGAAGCTCATCTTTGAATAAAGGTTAAGTGGCCAATCTTTATAGAAGGAAACATCAGTGCTTTGATAACTATTTAAGTAATGTGTTTTTCTTACTTACAGTCCAGGCCTGAAACAGGTAGTAATTAATATTGCTTCAGCTTGTTATATACTGCAATAAATAGTCTGCCAAAACTAATATTAAGAAATTGTTTATTACCTGAGTAATCAATTTTAACCAGACTTGAAACAGATTTTTGTTATTTTTTTATTTAGCAAATTGTTCAGAGCCTTGTCAATCAGCTGGGAGTGGATTCTGCCCAAGCAAATATCAGTACCACATCATCTGTAAGTGCTTATGAACTGTGGGACAGTTATTGTGAGAATGCTTGTCTATGACTAAGGCTGCCATCATTGTTTTGAATCAGCCTTGGCTCTATTTGAAATAAAAATTGCATGCTTTAACCCTTTGAGTCCTAGAGGTGATTAACATGTAACTTTTCCTTACAAAATCCCTACATTATCTAGCAAACATGTGATGAGAACACTTAAACTTATTGTGGTTAAAGTTGTTCACTCGATCTAACACCAAATTCTTATAGCTAATTTACGAATTACGGTCGTTTCGCCTACGGGTCGTTTCGCCTACGGTCTGTTCACCTACGGTTAGAGTCGATTCGCCTACGTCTCATATGTCAGTTCGCCTACGTGTTAAAACATGTGTTACAACAGTTGATTCATCTACTTTATGTGCGATCGCGCTCGGATCCTAGTCGGTCGATTCAATTCCTAGAGCGTGACTCATAAAGTCAAGCCTATCGAAGTTAAATAATTGTAAATAAGGAGCGTTCGTTTACCTGAAAATTTCCGTGTTTTTTTCCCACCTTTTGTGTAGGTTGTTACTTTAATCTAAACCTTGGTTATTTGAACCAAGTCCAAACGTGAACACGAACGTTTATTTATCTTACTTAGTCCGAAGTATATGAATATGATTACCGATTTAACAAGCCGCAACATCGAAATAAAAAGTTACATCAACCTGTGTAGTGTGAACAAGCTAATTTTGTGGTAAGTACTATGTATGCTAATGAAAACTCTCACCTCCCTTTGTATGAGCGCCGCTCAAGTCACAAGTCTACACAAAGGACGCTTTAAGTTTTTATATTATTTGTCTGTTAGATGAAAGTACGCAAACGGAGTAACTCAGAATACCCGGACACATTACATACATAAACTAGTTTATAGAGATAAAAGATTCAACGAGTCGCCCGCCAAATCGACGCAGAAATTGAACCGACTGTCAGGTCAAGCCGAAGCTAATTTCGTATATGTTAATGAAAAGTCTCACCTTCTTTAGTTTAGGTGCCGCTCACGCTTCACAAGTCTACACAAAGACCGTAAACAGTGGTTTGTTTACTGCTCTGCTCGCGCTTTACACGACCACACAAAGACCGTAAACAGTGGTTAATTTCATTTTAATACACATCTTAATGCTCAGTTTTACAATCGCACGTTTCTTAAATCATTTTAAGCAAAATATCTTTCACACATTCGTAGACGACCGGGTTCCGCCATAATAAAGTTTTTAAAAACGAACTTAGATGTTTTAGCGCGTTGTTTTTCTAGCCATCGAGGATAGAATGGAAGGAAAAATACAAGGAACAAAGACTTTTAATAATTCCGATTTAAAGCTTCAACATCTGACTCGTAGGCGAACTGACATATAAGACGTAGGCGAATCGACTCTAACCGTAGGCGAACAGACCGTAGGCGAAACGACCCGTAGGCGAAACGACCGGATACCCTAATTTACAAGAAAATATGTAGCTACTTAGGGGAGGAGTTAATAATCATGTCTTGGGAGGGTTAATGATTGATGATCATTAATATAGATTGAAATTGATGGTTGTGTGTGAGTAGTTGATTTTTCCTTACAGGATGATGGATCTTCAGTGAATGTTCACATCAACCTTCAGGCCACAACTCAGGTAAAATACAAAGGCCAACATGCAATCAATTTATTTCATTAAAAATTCTTTTTAGAGAGTACGTGTATACAGTACACTGTATTTAAACTTACAAATCAAGTCACATGGAGTCTTTGTTCAGGAACTACCGCTAATCTGCAGCAACCTATAGCTTCTATCCTTCAGAGACTGAATCAGACATTCATGGACATGTGTAATATGAGTATTAGCAGCCATGATTCAGATGTTCCTTGGAATTTTTTTAATGAGCAGATGTTAGATATTACTTAACTGTTAGAATATGCATGAGATACATGTACATGCATGAATACATAGTTAGGCTCTTTTTATTTTGCATGGTTCTCAGGTTTGAAATCTCTGCTTGTCCTACAGTTCTGGCTCTATTCCAGTTTTTTTTTTTTTTTTTTTTTATTTATTTATTTTTTTAATTTATCATCATATTTTATTATGTACAGCCTAAAAAGATAATGTTTTCACAAGAAAGTTAATATTAGCACAGTAACTTTGCATAAAAGTAGTAACATATATATGTATCAGTATGTGGATGTATTAGTGTTAAATGTCCTCATAAATGACACCTAAAGTTCATCTTAAAGGTGTTATTACTGTATGTAAGGTACTGGTTACATGAAAATCTGTGTGGTCTCTGTAACGTGGTGTTGAACATTACAATGTATGTCCATTACTGCACGGGTGTACGTGTATTCATAGTGTTGTTACATTGGAAGAGTATCTAAAGTGCATGAATATATTTTACTTTCAGCCTGGAAATGATGTATCACAGAGGATTAATAGGGCAAGACATTTCATGAGAGCTGCATCTAATTCTTTGAACAGATCTGAGGTGCAGTAGTACTCATCATGTTTAGACTATGAAATATATTGTAGACTGCGATTCTCCAATCTAGTTAAATGACTTGAGGATTGAAATATAGCATGAAATATTTTAGGGAGATGGAGTTCTTCCCATGGATACATCAGAAACACCAAATACTGCAAATACCAATCAAGCTGAAGGATCCTCAACAGAAACTGGCAGCCAAACTTCAAACCTTTCCAGGTATGGGCAGCATTTGCTATGCTCCTGAGTTTTGATTAGTCATTGGGATTCCTTATCAAGGGTACTGAACCCAGTGCCTGACAAAGACCTCTCTGAAATAGTCATTTTTCAATTTCAGTACACTGCTCAACTGTGCATACATGTAGCTTCACAATCAACATCTAGGTTGTGAATTTTCCTTTGATTGTGTCTACAGTAACTTTTTTTTTTTAACAGTCCTGCAGCCTTAGCAGAAGTCTTAAGGGATGCAAGGGACTCCATGACTTCAATGCAAACAGTATTAGACAGATATGCTTCTCTTCTAGACTCCAACTCTCCAGAGGTACAGTTATTTCAATTTTTAAGTTCTATAGTATTCTTTTTAAACATTAAGGTTCTTTGGAAGTTAGTTATGCAGATAAATAATTAAATTTCGCTAAGAAACTGTGGATTTCAATCAGTGAAAGCTTAAGCAGGTCTGAAAATTGGTTCTGGGGGTCAGGCAGTCATGCTGCATATATAACTTTGCCCCTGGGAAGGTAGAAAACTGATGGTATCCTGAATGGAGGGGATAAGATTCTAAGGAAACTGCAGTGCTGCATCAGTGGGGGGTATTATAAATTTATTTTGTTGGGTAAAGAGGTTATAAAGCTGATGCTTAGGAAGTTAACTCTTTGTTAGAGACAAATGGCTAAAACTCTTTATGGTGGTCAATTTATGTTATCAACTCAGTTGTAAGATACCAAGTAGAAATCCAGTGTAGATGTTCCTAACTGAGAATTTATTTTGGTTTTAAAGAACTTAGATGCTTCTGAAGACACCTTACCGGATAGAGTGGCTGAAGCATTCCACAACCTCAGTCATGCTTACCATGCTCTGTCAGATCTTACTTTCAATTTCCGTGGTCCTGAACCAAGAAGGCCAAGTGTGCTCACATCACTATCTCCACATATTCCACAAGTGCCAATGTTGTCAAGCTTTGTTGGTGCACCTCAGATGATACCAAATCCAATGGCTCAGCCTGCTCAGGTATTTAGGAATGTCCATTGAATTTCATTGCATGGTGATTGTGTGGTTAACTTAAAAGTGTAAGCTACACTTGTCTGGTATACTTTCAGGGCTAATGACTTTCTAGTCAACTTGGGATAAAACTGCTGTATAAGGAGCACTAACCCATTTTCATTTTATACAATTGATGCAGAATGAAAGCTTAAAAGATTTCATCCAATTTGGCTTTTTATTTTGCCCAAACACCCACCCCCTCCCCCCCTTCACTTTAAACTCCAACTTTATTGGAATGATGGAAAATCTTTCTATTACAGCTACTGTTTTGGAAATACTGTATTGTAAAAATCAATCCTGTATTACAAGATAACATTATGGAAGCAAATTGCTTCAATCTCTTGTACAGTAGGTGGTTCTATCTTGGAAACAGAAGAAGTTATTCCATATGTTATTGTTTAATAGAGATCTTATCATAACTGTATTTTGTACTCTTTATGTGGCATACATGTAAGTGAGTTCAGTTTCTTGTCCTTACCTTCAATCTATACTGAATGCCCCCATAATAAACATTAAACCAAAGACTAATGTTAGTTTTAGCAAAGTTCATTTTTCTTTGCAATGTATATCTCAGCTGTATAGCAGTTGATCGGATCACAAACAAGCATGTTTTATTCTTTATTTTAACCCCATAGCAACCTGCTGCAAGCTCCACAACAGCACAGACCAGCCAAGCTGCACCAGGTACCCCGCAGATACCATTGGGCACCAATCAGAATTTGAGGATCCATGTGAATCCTCAAGGTGGAATCTCATTGACCACCATCATATCAAATGTGTCACATCCAGGCACCACTGCACCAGTCAACAGTCTGTCTACACCATCCACAACATCCACAAGTGGTACAAGGATGAGTGCTAGTGCAGATAATGGTGCTGCAAGAGAGACTTTTTCAAGCTCCTTTGGGGAGCAGAGGTCATCAGTTGGCACTGACACAAATAATGGTGCCACTGCTACTGCCAACACAACTAATAGCAGTACTAGTACATCAACTCAGACTTCACAGCCCAGTGTCCGGACTCGCATTATTGTAGATGACTTCATTGCATTGGTGTCAAATGTGCCAGCTTCCATGGCTGCTGCTATGGCTGCAGCCCAGGGTGGTCAGGTCCCTTCAGGGATGTCAGTGGCTCAGAATCAATCCCAGGCACCAGGCCAAGGAGCAGCAACAGCAACAAGCACGCCAGTGCCAACACCTGGAACACAGAGTACAACAGCTGGACAGGGTCAAGCTAGACCTCAGGGATTACCAGGGGCTGTGTCCATGAATCTTATGTCTGGTATGGGAGGAGGAGGAGGAGGAACACCAAACTCAAATCATCCTGACCCATCTTTACCTTGCCAGTCATTTCATTTTGGACCACAGGGACAGCGTGCTCAAACACAGCAAACCAGTCAACCACAGTCAACCCAATCTACCACTACAACAGTGACAAGCACTCCAGCTCAGACGCCAATAGCCAGCACTGCCCCTGAGACAGCAGCGACAAGTACTCCAGCTTCAACTGCTGCAACTACCAGTGCTTCTCAGACTCAACCCAAAACTCGGGGAGCAGCTGGTGATAAGAAGCCTCCTAGTGAACCTCCGCCTGCACGTGAGCCACCAGTGAGAACGCCCCCAGAGCGAAGGAGAGGTACATGTACCTGTACATGTGATTTGATTTAATGCTTCCTATTACTGACATTTGAGTTACAATGATGAGTTGATTTTTCTAGTTATTGCAAAATCTTGTGTTCAGTTATGATGTACATGTATTTGTATTTGGCACCTACCATGTACATGTAATGTACACTTGAAATAGTGATTTGATATTCCACATTAACAGCTGTATTTTTGATAAATCGTAGTGCAACAGAAATTTCATTTATTATAACAGCACATCAAACCTTAAATTGGTTACCTTAAAGTTGTTTGGACTATCGTCCAAAGTCAATCTTGGCAGGGTGATAAAGCTACAAAAGAGAGCTACACTGTACTTCCAATCAGATCCTAGATCCACTCAGTTCTTTGTTTTGTTTTGTTTTTTTTTTCAAAACTCTAAAGAATGCTTGAGAATAAATGTGACCTTCCATGGGAAAACGGACACTGATGCTTTTCTGTTTAAACTGCAAAACCGTTTACTATCCGTTTAAATCCGTTTAAATGGTTCATGAAAGCGTTTAAATGGTTTGCTCATCCATTTAAAAAAATTTGCATCTGTTTAACGCTTTAGCTAAAACGTTTGAGTGGTTTGCTTATCTGTTTAATAAAATTTGCATCCGTTTAACGCCTTTGGTAAAACGTTTAAGCGGTTTGCTCATCTGTTTAAAAAAATTTGCATCTGTTTAACGCTTTAGCTAAAATGTTTAAGTGGTTTGCTTATCCGTTTAAAAAAATTTGCATCCGTTTAACGCTTTTGGTAAAACATTTAAGTGGTTTGCTGATTTGTTTAAAAAAATTTGCATCTGTGTAAAATGGTAGTTCACTTGGAAGAAAATGCTAGGTACTCTAATGGCCTTCATAGAAAAGAGAAAACTGAAGGGGGTAGAACTGCTGCAGCATTAACTCATCATATCTGGAATGGCTTGCCACTTGATCTTAGACAAATACGTGTAGAATTTCTGAACAGCTTGCAAACAAATTTTTGTTAGTAATAAATGAATACCATTGAACAGCAAATCAAGAAATTTACACGGTATGAATCATTATGTAACTTTTGATAGTTTCCTTTATACTTGTAAATGGTAATTTTCAATATAAGTTATAGAAGTTTTTTATTAGGCTTTTCTACTACATGTGCTTGTACAAAGTAGTTATAGTAATTTTTTTCAATTGTTAACTTATAAATAGATAGGTTTTTGTAATGTTACATGTACAGGTGTATGTATGAAATGTCTGAGGAAAAATTTTACTCCTTCAGAAGGGCTACCATCATGAAATAAAGACTTTACTTCCTTATTAACTATATTATGTCGCATAAGGTCATATACTCAATCAACTTTATGACATAATTGCAAAACCAGCTGTTGTGCCCATTGTTGGTATTTAATCATTGATTTCCTTGCATCTTCAGCCCGTGACCGCACAATATCTCCAGCTGATTTGCAAGGGATTCTAGGAATGATCGCACATGATCAGAGGACTGGCTTTAGAGGATTACCATCACTTTTTCCCGGCAGCTCAGGCCGAGGTCCACCTAGACAGGTACTGATCATGAACTGCCAGTGTTCATGCCCTTACTGTAGGGAGCTTAAGCAGTCATGATGGTAACCTCTGGGGAAACATAACTGAAAAGTGAACGTATATTTGTCTCAAAGGATTTTGGGAATAGCCTGATGTGTCTATTGTGTCATATTCTACCAAACCTCTTCAGAAGAGAGAAGAGGAAACATAATTGATGTGCTTTTTTTGTTCCTGTGCCCAGAAAGTCAAAATTTGTTGTCTCAACATTGTTGTGTTACTGAGACTGGTTGGGAAGGTTTCATTATATGCACATGTAGTTCTTTTGTTCTCCAAATTAGATCTTTAAGATCCCCATGTCTGCCTTGTTGTCCCCATCATGGGTTGCTTAAGCTCCCCAGTATTGCTGTGTGAACTTGTTTTGTAAATTAAGAACAGTTACATGTAAATGCCCATATAGAGGTGGATAAAATTAAGTGAAGGGGCTTTGCCTTAAGGTAAGGGTTAGATTGAAAATTTGCCATAAAGCTTTCTGGACTGAATTTAAAATTTTGATTTACAAATGTGGGTATAGATTCTGCAGTTTGACATAATTGTTTACTCAACTAATGGAAATAATTATTTGTTTTGCTTGGTGATTACTGGTTATTTTATAGAGCTGAAAGAAATTGTGTGGTCCCATGCTTTGCTCATATATATCCCTGTCAAGCCAACAACAATTTTTCCTGCACATCTGCCCTGGCAGTAAAGCCCCAGACATGTTGCATTTGGAACTAATGCTAAGGAGTTACACTACAATGAAGTTTTTGATTTCTACATGTTGCTCTGAACTATGTGCTCTGTTATCTGTCTTAGACAGTTGTTTTCCAATATTTTATCTCATACTATGGCATCTTTGAAATTAAATACAACCCCTTAAATATGAGAATCTAAAGGGGTGTGCTCAGTTTACATTGTACTTTATTTGAGACAGTAAAGGACATACTACATGTATGCAAGTCTTAATTTTCCTTTCTGAAGGAATAAGCTGAATTATGCAGGAATTGTGATTGGTTCTTACTTACGGTACAATCCATTGAAGGACAAGTGCTTTGATGACATCACCATCACAACATTTTGCTTTTTAATCATGTTCAAACAAATAGATTTGTTGTTGTCAGGAGTCTGTACAGTTATAGATCATAAAAGACACCAGATTGTGGTACACTGACACACTTTAATTACATTTTTCAGTGATACCCACATAAAGATGACAAAATTAACATAAACTCTATGTGACTTGTTTGCGTAGAGTCTTGTGTGTAGATGAGGCATGCAAAATGCGTTATTGCCACACCATTATCTGTAGAAAAATAATGATTTTTCAACCATATTAATCTTCTATTAATAAACCTTCATCAGTCTGGCCGAAGGGGTGGTTCAGATTCAAGGCAATCAATGATGGATATCATAGATTCTATGATGAACTACAATGAAGGTTTGTTATGGTATCATATGGCAATAATTACTCTTGGGATCCCCCATAGTCAATTGTCAAATGTCAATTGGGTGATTACCTGGGGGGGGGGGAGGGGGGAGAGGAAAGATGTTGCCTCCTCCCCCTTTCCCACCAATGACTTTCACTGATACTCTGCCTGAAAGAGGCAAGGGAGGGGTGGGGTTATTTGACTCTCGTATGGCAATTTAAAGGTCTAACAGATTGTCACTTACACCATTTTTTAAAGAGACCATATAAGAGTTATTTACCTAAGTTCAAGTGTAACAATTCAAAGGACTGTTGTCCTGCAAACAATGTAGTTTAGAGCAGTGGTCAATAGAGTGTTAAGAATTAGCAGGGATTGTTTTGGTTTTCTTTTAGTTTACACTGTGATTGGTCAAAAAATTTAATCCGTAATTTATGTCATACTGTAGCGAGTAATTCTCAGTCAATGGTTATCTGTTATTATTTTGATGAGTACATTTTTTTTACTCGTGCATTTCAGGTCAGACACAAACAATTAATTCCTTAATCGAAACAATGAGACAAAGTGGACTGGACATTCAAGATGAAGAAGGTGAGCTGTTCCTATCTCTTTATTTTATGAGTTTGTTTTCGGCATGGAACATGGAAACCGTCTTGCTTCCCTTACATGTAAAACCATGACACAGTGTTCTCCCTTATTTTAAGCATAATAAATAAAACAAACTTTCAACCCGGTAAAGCAGTCCTTTTATCCGCTGAATCTTCAAGAATTCCAAGCAATTTTAAACGGTAATAGGAGGTACTATAGGCGGTAGATGTCACCGGTTACTGCCTTTAAAGGAGAACACTGCATATTGTATACTTCCTTGATTCAATTTCTTTTTTGTTTCAAGTACAGCTCACTTGAGGTTATTTTAATTCTCTCTGTTATTTTTCTTTTGTCAAGGACTGGTTCCTGCTCTATATCAGCGTCTAAGTGCCGTGATGACAGTTGAGGATGTCATGGGCGTGGTCATGGGTAAGTGCTGTAACTTCTCAATGCGTTTTGCATCGCGATTTTGTATGGAATGAAGATAAGTTGTAGGGCAATACAATAGATTCAGAAGATATTTTAGCTCTCAAAGACAACGTAACATTAGTTTCTATATTCTCCTTACTGTTTCCTATACATTTCCAATAGAAATCACAAAGAGAATTTGTTTGGCAATCAAGAGCTTCTCAAGTTGGTTATCATTTCCTATGTTTACATGGGTTATACCAAAAGGGGAAATAAGATTCTAATTTCTTCTAAAGTTGAAGGGTTTATTGGTTTTGTTGCCATGTAGAGTCACTGTTTGTTGAAGTTGAATGTCATTACAGTTGAACTCTGCTTGCTCGAACTCACAAGTCAAACAAAAATTGGTTGAGTTGCGAGAACTCGAGTTAGCTGATAGTTAATGATTGGAAAGCTGGGGTCAAGGGATCTTGTTCGAGTTACCGGGGGAGATCGAGTTAGCGGGGTTCTAGTGTTTATTTCAAGCACAATTGTTTGGAACTCGTGGTGCGTTTTGATGCGCTGTCATAGGTGCATTGGGACAATCACTGATATTCGTCCTTCTTTTGAAAGGAGTAAATTGTATTTTTGATGTTGTTGCCTACGTAAGTACCTGTTTCTTGTCTCTTTAGGTTCTGAGAGACCATTTGAACGAATCCGACCAGCTTTGATGGTGTACGTGAAGGAGGATCTTTTGCATGGACAAGAAGCAACAAACGAAAACCTACGGGTAAAATTTTTAATATAGCTCTTTGTGATACTGTCTTTACGCTACTCTTTCTATAGCTTGCGAGCGTATCTGATTGTTTTGTTTTTCCCATTTAATTGTGAATTCTATATTTATTTTCAGCATTAGTTTTGTCAAATTAAATCAGTTATACTTTTACCATGATTTCGAAGTAAACGTCTTGCTTCCTAGCTCTTATAATTCATCCAAACCGGTAGACTATGGTATAACATGAACAGCCGTCACACGAATTATGATTTTGTTCGCTGTAATCCCTAAATTTCGAAACGTTCAATTGTAAAGGATGTCTTCCCTCTAAGCCAGTGTTGATTCCCACGCAACCCACCCATCCCTTCCTTTGCCAAACCCTCCCATGTCACATCTCTCTCATCCGTTGAGGGGTGGGGGGGGGGGGTGGTGAGAATTCCACGCCTCCTATAAAAGTATGCCCTGTTTTTCGCTGACGTGGTGTAGTCCCTTTGTTCGTAATGGCTTATTTTGTTCTGAATCCTTTTCAGAAAGCTGTGAAGGAGTTGACTAAAGAGATCGTTGATGGTGTTGGGGACTCCCTTGTAAGTGAAGTTCAGTGATCTTCAGTACGCTACACCTGCATTCAAAGGCTACCTTTCGTGTTATTTTTGTTGCGTCTGTTTGTTTGTTCAATCAACAGTGTTTCTGTTGGGTGTCTCACTTTCGGAATGCTACCCAGTTTCGTGTGAAGTTTTGAGAACATAGATACTTGTATATCAACCTCAAGGGTTTAGACTGAAATTAACTGTAAGTTACTCAAATTAGCCTTATTTATCCATGTCGGTTTGAGACGCATCTAAGGGCTTAGGTCTTAACACTGCGTTGGTTTTCTGCTATTGCAGACGGCATGGTGAAAAAGCATTTAAGATTTCCCCCTCTGTACTAGGCCTGTTTTGTTCTTTTTGTCTTTGTGGTTGGCTTTGTGTGAACATTTATCTTTTTTTTTGTCGCAAATAGAAAGTTGCCCCAACAAATAATGATATTGATATTGTGGAATCTGCCCAGAGCTTCCTAGAGCACTATATCAGAAATGCCGTGGACTTGGTTTTACATTCAGGTTAGTGAAGAAACCGTATGGTTAAAAATTCAATTGGATTTCTACAAGGATACGATTACTGGGTGTTTCTGTTCATCTGCACAGAAGGACAAGAGTTGATTAAGATGTAACTCTCTCTCTCAGATGTAATATTGAGCGCTGTAGATTTTATCCTAGTCTATTGTTTTGGAGAGAGGCCCCTTAATTACATGTAACTACTTTATTTGGTGCAAGGAAGGTCACTTAAACGAAAGCAGTATACCCTAAGGAAAAGAAAAAAAAAAGGAATTGTTAACGCGAATCGATTTTGATCGGAGGATGTGCTGTTGATGAAGATCTCTTGAGAGATGGGCACGTTACTGTAACTATAATGATATCTTGTTGCATCAACAGAGGAGAACCCCAGGTTTGCTGAATACTTTCAAGGCCACATGAAGGACATAGCTGCAGAATTCTTCACAATGCTGGTGTTTTGCTACAGAGATGGGCTGGAAGGAGTGGAACAAGTGATCAGAAATAGAATTGTGAGTATCAAAGCCTGCTTTTTTTCCCCTTCAGTGCCTTCGAATCACTCGACGAGTAGCAGCACACGTGAATTGTAAGTTGCCACCCACTCGGAACTTAAAGAACCAACCTGAACCTCCAAAAATTGTGGGCTAGTCCCGTTTCGAGACGTTTGATTGAAGCAAATAACGAGCTTTCATGGTGTTTTATTTTACGCAAGATGGCTCACTGAATGTGTTTGGAAGCCAACTCTGCCATGATTTTGAGTTTTGGATGTGGAATACCGTAGGTTTTATTTCGGAAATATTGATGACTGCTTCCTCGTGCTTTTGATCGCGTGCAGAGAGAGGACGAAAGAAGAGGGAACGGATGACAGTGTTAAACCAAGATAATTTGTTTTTATCAACTGAGTTGATAGTATAAATTAGCCACCGTGAAGATTTTGTAAAGGTGACGTTTCGAGCGTTAGCCCTTCGTCAGAGGTAATTTACATTATCAACTCAGTTGAGAAAACCAAATGATCTCGTAATACCGCCCACTGATGCGGCATCACTGTTTCTTTAGAAAGTTACCACCTTAATTCATCAGTGTGAAACCTAGCTGAGTGTGGAATGCCTGACATGTAGGACCTGCTGTATCTCGCCTCTGTAGTAGTCTCTGTAAATTGCTAGTAGAGCATCCAAATGCCCATTCTGTAAAAATGATTCGTAAACTCTACTCCATTTTTTAATGCTTGCAGCCCACATCGAGTTTAACACAAGACATGGATGAACGTTCTCGAGAAGTGTTTGAGCAGTTGTTACTGAGGAACATCCGTCAGATGTACTACAGTAGGGCGTATTGTGAGGGGCGACTCCAGCGCTTCATGATCAAACGCAGAACCCCTCCACCACCCCCTCCGGCACAACCTGAAGCCCCCTCTAAACCTCCCGTGGGGAACTCCTCTGAGGACGAAAAGGCGGGCGACAAGAAAGTGGGAGAGGTGAGGAAATTGTTTTGAAAATCTTCACCCCTAAAGTGAAAGCAGTTGTGTTACGAGTAATGCAAGCTCTTTAGTTTTCAATTGATTGTTGAACAAACCAAAACCAGAGGTATCCAAGCGACCAATCAGAACCAAGGTTTGCATTGTCATTAGCCAATGAGAACTCAAACTGCTTGAAGCGCGGGAAAATGCGGGTGACCAAACGCGATTGTTTTTAGTTTTGCATCTGATTGGTTGAGAGGACGGCGCAAGTATTGTGGACCAATCGCAATACAAAGTGAAGTAAAACCAAAGCAATCCCGGATTACTTTCGATACTCAATTGAAAATTGCTCCTGTAGGGTTCCTTGATTTTTACAACGACATTTATGAAGTTTAATCAAAAAACAAATCTTCTTAGTAATTCACAATCGCGTTCGATGTTTTTTCTTCCCCTTTCCGATGCCATGGCAAATAGCCCGCCTCGCCAATTGTACCTAACTGCCTTTAAATTTAGTGTTAAACATGTGGACCAAACGATGCAATACGTAGAGTTCTTATGAAGCTATGTTGTATGCTTGGCGGAAACCGAACCACACTTTCTTCACCGCACTATTCCCTGTTTGGTCGTTATCGTTATTGCATTGTCACTTTGATTGTGAGTGTTGTTGTGCGTTGAAAGGTTGTGACAATGATTGGGCAAAATAAGGTTTTATTATATTTTTTTTAATATTCACACAACAAAGAACTCCAAATGATTTCAGACTGCAAATGAATTTGCGCTTCCACCTCTCCATGCCTCCTATCAAAGTTAAAGGTAATCTCAGTTATATTCATTGTACATGTATTCTGACAGGCCATAGACGAAGACATGGACAGTCATGGTTCTGATGATTCAGAGACGTTTACGACTCCCCCTGCATCCATCATAGCAGGGAATGATACGGAAAGCCTCAATGTAGAATTGCCGGAGGGTGAAGAGGCTATGGAGGAAGAGCAAGCGGATCAAGAGTGGAAATCTATTATGCCTGAGGTAGTTGTTTTAAAAGCGATTTTGTCGCTTTTAGATTCATTGCATGTACGTGCCAGCCTCACCCAGATATCTGTTTGTTAACGAGATTTAACGCAGCACAATGGTTGGCTTCGGATCTGCTCTGATAACCAAAAGTAAACATATTGTGAAATAAAGCATATTCTCAAGACACATTCTTTAAATTAATTGCCAAAGTATATTATAGTCTTAAACCGTGGCTTTCTCATTCAATATTATGTGTATTTCAAACTTTTGTTACATAATTCCTCCAAATGTCTTGTGGCCTTTGGCCGATTGAATTCGAGATTGCTGTAGTGCCACAGAAGCGTAATTTTCTGTCTTTCATAGGAATGGATCCCCGTAATCACAACAGACATTGTGCGGCAAAGACGAATGCCACCACAAGCGCCTTTTAGCGATGCTTACGTCAATGGACTACCACCAAAGAGGCGTAAGGTAAATACAACCAGTTATCAACAATGTTTACTTCAGTCTCTCCAGTCTACCAAGTCATTTAAGAACGACTCTAACTATTGTTGATCACGTCTTCAGATGATAGACCAACGAGGCATTACGCCAAGTGAAGACAGTATAGGTGATGCATTGAAGAGTGCGGCTACAGCCACAGGAGCCACGCCTCTCACAAGTCTGGACGGTAATGATAACAATGATGATGATGATGATTATTATTATTATTATAATAAACTAATAACAGTGATAATAATGACAACGATACGAAGAAGAAGAAGAATAACAGTAATAGAATATTGATGATAATAGTAAGGATCTATACACGATGGGAATTCTAGAGGAGAATCAGAGTTAACACAAAGCGAAGACGCACAGCAAAAGGGGATACCTCTAACACATTTTAATTCTATGGCAAAGGCCGTATTTCCTCACTACGCTCAAGTGATATTGCTTTTCTTTCTTAGGCGAGTGTGGAAATCGCCATTCCTGCGGTGAATAAATGTTATTTTATAATTTTCATTCAGTGGCATCCTATAACAAGAAAGTGATGTACAGTCCTCCTTAATACTTCTTCCTTTTTTCGTTTAAAACACAATAGTTGGTTTCCCCTCACTCAACCATTTCTAGATTAACATATCTCTTCCAGGTGGTACAGTTTAAGGAGTACAACAGAGCTTTGTAAGAAGGCGTGTACGAATGTAAATTTGTTGTTTCTTTTCGAACAGCGCTCTGAAACAAGATATAGTTTAATTGCTTCTTGATGGTTCGGCCAGAATAAAGGCTTAGATTGAAGTCTGATGTTAATATTATAAACTCCCTCTTCCAGATCTTTCAAGAGCTGCTAAGGGAAATCGTGCCCTCCATGGAGCATATCGAAGAGAGATTCAAAAGGAAATCAAGACAAGATTGGATAAAGATACAGATTACAGACCTGATAGATTCCCTCAGACTAAGGATTGTTTTGACAAAGATTCAGAGAGGAAGTAGCACTAGAAATACGGCGAGCGGATGTAATAGCTCGTCTGTATATCACCATTAAATTGGTCATTATAGGTGTGACCAGTTACCCGCCGTGCATTTAGCACAGGAAGCTCAATGTAATGAAGTTGAAAATCGTTAAATGACGGTGCTTTGTAAAGCTTACCGGATGGACCTTCAATCTTTGTGCGGATCAGAACTGTGGGATGAACAACTTAAGAAAAACCCGCACACTGAGATGTATGTGTCGACATTTTCAATTTTTTTGTTTTCGTTTTTGGTTTTAATCTTTTAGCAATCATCCTTCTCAGCCTCATATCATTAGAACTCAATTCAATCGAATCATCGGAGGTATTAGAGGTAAAGGCGCAAGTTTCCTTAGTTTAAGTCATTTTGTCAACCCACACGTCCTGCAAGGTGTAATCTGCGTTTGGGTTTTTATAATCAGCTGATTCTCTCAGAGATCAATAGTTAATACTTCCCCTCAATTGAAAGGACATCCCTTGTTCTAAAGTACCTTAAAAAAACTCTTGCTACCAATTAATATAAGCAAACTTATGATTACTTTCTTGCGATTTTGTTTTTTGTTTTTGTCTGTTTTGTTTGTTTGTTTGTTTGTTTGTTGTCTTGGTGTGTGTTTTGTTGATGTCAATATCTTGTTCTTTTTAGTCACTGTAAGTTTAATAACTATTGGGATTTATAAGTGGACCTATACTTTGCACCAGAAGAATATTGGTACAGGTCCAGAGAATGTGCCACTAATCCTGCATAGAAACCGTGTGCAGTGAAGAGCTTTAGTCTTAGAACCAAAGAGGTTTGTTAGGATGTTGAATTGTTAATGGCTTATGAAAAAAATAGTACTGATTGAATTAAATCACATTTCAATTAATATCATGGGCGTTTTATTGCTTCACGTCTTTTAGTAAAACTAGGATATTCTCTTCAAATGAAGGGAAAGTTGCGTTCATTAACCAGCTTTCCACAGATATGGAGAGAAGCCAGGGAACAAAGTATGTCTACCTAGATGCTCGGGTACAGAGAGCGACTGGACGAGAAATTTGTCTTCATTCTTGCTCATTACCATTTATCCTCTACTTAAGCGAAGATTCAAAAGACGTCTTTCTTGTCTTATATTCAAGGATACCGTAATTTATTTTTGCAACAGTACTGTCGCAGACAGGTGCAATTTGGAAACAACTTCATAAATTAACAATGTGATGGGTTTAAAAATATGTATATGTTCAGTAACTGCATTAATTACCTAATCAGTGAAGGCACTGACGGTGACTTTCCGCAAACATTGAAGTCCAAGCATTTTAGTCAGTGGCGGCCTTGAAATATATGGAATTGTATCCATCCTTGGGTCTTAAACCCTGGCTCAAGGTAATGATAAAAAGAAGGCTTCAAGGAAAGTAAGAAAGAGAGAGAAAATTAGATGAACTTCGGCTACTTTTCATCATGCAGTGGAACACTTTTGCTACTTGTCAGAATAAAATCAAATTTTTGGCAGGATTGTGGTTTCTCAGCTTCCCTTATCTTGTTTTTACGGAAGGTAAGCAAGCGAAATTTATAATATGTTTTGAGAATGACAATAATATGCGTAATTTGAAGCATTTTAATTTCCAAATATTCGGAAAATATACTCTGTTTCTGATTAATATTTCAACGGTTAAACGTTCTCAATCATTCCTAGTGGCACTAACAAATACTACCTGAATTGCCGAATGAAGTAGTGATACTTGCAGTCAGTCTGCGGTTCAAGTAATTATTTAAAAGAAGCCTGAAAAAATTCTGGCTTCGACGAGACTCAAATCCGTGCTTGCCAGATACTACTACGGCGCCAGACGTTGAGAGCGAGGCAAATTTTACTGAGAATTCTTTCCCGAGGAAGAACTGATACAATGGTACAGTCGGAATTCCTTTTTATACCACAAAGAAGCTTATTGGGGGCTTTTATACGTGCGATAAATGTAACAAGGTGATTCAAAGGGACTCGGAATTTTTTCTTTGACACACGCTCGTGACAAGACCAGAAATATCATTTCATAATATCATAACTATTTCTTACCGAGCTCAAAACTTGCCATATCTCTAATTTTATTTACAAACATGACGCTATCTATATCGCTGATCCTAGCAGTATGCAGGACGCGTGTCATATGAACTTCGTAATAGACCTCGCTCACCGTAGGGGACTCAGATTTTTTTCTTTGTCCCACGCTCGTCACAAGACGAAAAATATCTTTCACTAAAGTAAATCATTTTTTTTTGTTTCTTTCCCTGGCAGACTGCTGCAGGATTCTGCTTTTCAGAGAAATTTATCCTGACAGTGCGTTCAACAAAAGCATCATAAACAATCTCACAGTAGACGGAGAAGATCAGTGTCAACTGAGTTGTTATTTGCAGACTGGCTGTAAATCCTACAACCTCGGTCCAGTCTCTGAACAAGGCAAACGTGTATGCGAACTTAGCAGCTCGCATTATGAATCTCAAGTGAGCCATCTTGAGTCTCGCCCTGGTTTCATTTACCGTCCTTCTGATGTGAGTTTATTGTTATGAGTCCTAGGAAAACGTACTATAGCATCAAGGGAGAAAACAGATTTTGTCTTTTCAGACTCGTCCTGAATACCTATATTAACCTTATGACACATAATACACGTGGATATTTTGCGAGTTGCGCAGTACTTTTCCGAGCCCTCGGTAAGGGAAAGGAAAAACGAGAAATGAGCAAAATGTTTGCTTGTATTAAACGTCAAACCATCGAATATTACTCCACTACCATTTCTTTTTTTTTAGTATTTGGCTTCTGGTTTTCGAAATAATCCACCGGCCCTATCTGAGCCGATCACATCGCTTTGTTTTCATTATCTCCGTTGATTTGGCTCCTTTATCCTGAGAGAGATTTCTGTGAAAAATTCAGTAGGGCTGTACTTCATATATACCACTGAAAACGTCCACTCCACATTAGACATAGATTATTGTTCCTCTTTTCCTCTTTCACTCCTGACTAACATCAAAACATAAATGGGGTAAGTTTTAGAAGAAACTGTGGTGCTGCGTCGGTGAGAGAGTATAACAATGTAATTTGGTAATATTAACTGAGTTGATAACGTAAATTGGCCACCGTAAAGAATTTCAAAGCCGAAGTTTCGAGCGTTCGCCCATTGTCTGCTCGAAACGTCAGCTTTGAAACTCTTCACGGTGGCCAATTTACGATATCAACTCAGTTGTTGATGCCAAAATAACCTTGTGACATCAAAGCAGCTGCTTCTGCTAAAACGACATGCGCGCTCTGTAACCCGACAATAACAATGGTCAGAACTTTACCTTCAGCCGAAAGGGGGTTAATGACAATACCCTTTTTAGCGAATTATCCCACTTCCCCTGAATAGTTCAAGAGGTGGATTGAATGCAGGCTTACTTACCTTCGTTCCATTGATGTGATAATCAAGCTTTGTTTTCTTGAACCTAGAATTTATGCAAGCCTCCATGCCCAGAGAACAAAAACTGTTGTCCTAATGACGTAGGATTCTCGTGCGTTTGTTCTGATCCTGGATTTCGAGGAGAAAGGTGTGATGAAGGTATGTTGTGTTTTAGCGATGATAAACCACATTTCTAACGATTTTACCAGAAAATTTGGACGTGAAGAGAGGCTGAAAATTTTGTCAAGTGATTGAATATTGAAGGGATTTGATACAGAGAGTTTTTCAGATAAAAAGGAATATTTCCCTAGTAAAACGACCCACTCTAAAAATCTTAAAAACAGCATTTGCTCTCTTAATTTTATGCCCACATTTAAACTCAATTCCGGATGGATTCATTGTTTCAGTCAGGGAGTGTTTTATATATCGCCCAGGCAGCATTTATACCATTTCAATCATATGACGTTCCTTTTTGAACGTTTCGTGGCAGATGTAGATGAATGCTCGCTGGGAACTCACAATTGTGACGGGAATTCCATGTGCCAAAACACGGTTGGCAGTTTCATATGCACGTGTAGTTCGGACCAAGTCCCGGATGGAGACAAGTGTGCAGGTGATGATTTCTTTGCCATACGGAATTGGTCCAGTGCCAGCACCGAGGAAAGTGAATTTTCTTTGCTTGATGAAAAAATTTCTAACCGAAAAGAAAAAAATACTGGACAAAACAGACCGGTTGTTTGCAATTATTTATCTCAGTTTTATGGCTTAAACTTTCACGAGGAAAGGTCAGGCGCGTTGCATGATTCAGAATTGGCTTATGTTCTCGAACATTTGCAGTGTAATGAAAATATTTTATTTTGTAGGCTTTCCTTTCCACTGGGCCCTAGATGGCACGGACAGCCTACTAACGTAAGTCACTTTTCGTTTCCTTACTTGCCGATCTTTACATCCACCATTTTCTAATTTAGTCAAGGTTAGCCAAAAATACATAATATGAAAAACCCTTCTTTTAAACTTCTCTTTTGATTTCGGTAAATACTTGCAAAGATCGTCTTAGCTCTTTGACTAGTTCTAATGAAATAAAAAATGGGTGATAGCATGACGTGCCGTGATGACGATCTTTGCATTCACCATTTCCTTAATCAGCAGTGGTTCCAGGCTAACCAAAACAACATATGAAAAAATCCATCTTTCAAGCTGCTCTTCTGATTTTGGGAAATGCTGGCAAAGACTATATTTGCTCTTTGATTTATTCCGATGAAATCAAGCATTTTAAACTTTTTTTATCAGTTTGCGAGGAAGTGCCGGTTTTGTGGAGCAAAATAACAGATTGGTTCTTTACTTGGATGGTACTGGAGCAAACTTTGCAGAGACACCGGCTATTCCTCTCCGCCAAACAGACCTGACTATTTCAGTGTGGATCAAACTGGTATCGCCCCTTTCTCAGGACTCAGTACAAACTATATACGGTGATTGGTCCTTTCCATGGCAGTTCAGGTTCTTTATGATGGACAGTGGTTGTCCTCATTTTCAAGCCAGGCGAGACGTTGACGGAATCGACGATGTATTTGCTCTTGGAGTTACCGAACACCATCGGTAAGAGTAATAAATCTGTCGGGGGAAGCGGGAACGGTGAGGGAGGGGGGTGGGGTCAACGATGTTATATGAAGCAAGAAAGGATAAACTTAAAGATGCCCTTTCCCACCACCCCCACAGCAAACATTTGTACTACATTGATACTTTGGCCTCAGCTTGGGGTCTTCTTTCAGATCGGTCAGTGAACTATAATTGCATGCGTTCGTCAACAAATCTAAAGAAAACGTAAATTGCATGGCCACCGTAAAGAGTTAAAAAAAGCTGACATTTCGAGCGTTAGCCCTTCGTCAGAGCGATTGATTTACGGTGGCCAATTTACGTTTTCAACTCAGTTGTTAACACTTAATTACCTACTATACTCTCCCACCGACGCAGCACCACAGTCTCTTTAGAAACATACCCCCTTTAACAAATCTAAAGAGTTTGACTGCGAAAAAACGTCCTGCTCGCCCTGTCTCATCTGGTTGGGAGCATTGTCTTGTCCTTTTATCAGAAAATTCTCGCCCGTTTTCCACTCTAACGGATAGCGCCCAAGACCTAAGTCCAGGAAATTCCCCTTTTACGATCCTAAAATGAATATTTCGACCATATTTCTTCCTTTTCTATCTGCAAAATTGGGTTCAGTCATAGCGTAGGGTACGTTCGCTCTCCCCAAGATTCCCCAGTATTCCTCCTTCAAGAATTAACGGACACGAAAAATTCCAACGTGACGTTGATGTACGTACACATTACGCTATTCTTGGTTACAAGAGTTAGTAAATTCATTTTATATCTTCAGTGTTTCTCCAGACGTGTGGAGTCACGTAGCTGTAACCTGGAGTCGCGTGCACCGCTTAGTGAGGATATTCATAAACGGACAGATGAAGGCTTTTCACGTTGCTGATAGCAATTCACTTCTTGACTTCAAAAATTCAGGGCATAATGTTTACGACATTGGTCTGAAAAGGGACAATTCTGCGATAACTCACGCTTACCTCAGCGATCTCATTGTCTTCAACCGTGACCTGTCCGAGATTGAAATCAGAAATGACCTGTTTCAATCAAATCCCCTGCATGGTTACATCTCTTCTGTCTCGCCCGGGAACAACCTGTAATAAAGTGGTCGAGAGAAGTAGGCTCTTTCTATTTGTGTCAAAAACCCGATATACCCAGTGCGAAAACCTGATATATCCAGCGCAAATTTTTCTGAAAAAGGAATACCTGCTCTCTCCTTTTTACGAGAATTATCCGTAGTAGCCTCGTTTCAGTGTCAACTTGGTGGGCATTTGTATAACGTGGCAGTTTTGATGTAATACCAAGTGGCAGATATTAATCAAGACTTGGTTTCTTGGGCCGTGTGATTTCTTCCTAACTAAACAGGGGGGATCTAAGATTAAAGCGAAGTTGACGAGGGAGACAATCCTTAGAAAGTATGGTTGAGGGAAGCAATTCCTAGCCTTTCCACGTTTCTTTCTTAGTCGGCTCTTCATGGTAAAACTGCAAGCTAAAATCGGATAAAGGATAGAAATAGGTGAAATGGTTTGCGGAGCTGATTGTCCCAAATGAAGTAGTTTAATGTAGTCTCCTGTTCACGTGCCCTTCTGTAATAGACAAAACAAGTTTTAGCGCAGTCTCGATATTTGGTCAAAAAGGATCTGTCTAAAACTCTTAATTACCACAGGCACTATCTTCAAACATGTGGCCAGCACGTGCACCGTCAAGGTTATTGGATTCCCAAGGTGATTCCAAACAAAGCAAGTAACAAAATAATTGTAAAACTGCAATATTATTATTCGTACTTCCCTTGAGATCTAATTAAGTCCAGTAGAATAGACTCGGGTTATTTTTGACCAAATCCTTGTTATATATCAAATGTTAAGCTCAATCAACTTTGGTCATGTGGAGTTTATTTACTTCCTCTCGGACAGACTGTTTTTGCCAGGTAAACATACCTTTATCTTTATCACTATGGAAAAAAACAAGTGTGAAGCAGAGAGTAGATTGAGTGTCGTACTACCAAAATCCAATGTAACCACAAGAAAAAATCAGCAAAAAGGAGAATATCACAAGAAGCTGATGAGAGATAAAAGTAATAACAAGTAGACTACCTGAAACGGGAAAACATGGATAACTATGTCGTAATTGGTTTTACTTTGCTTCTGATTGGTTGAAAGAGTAAAGCGAGTTTTCTGGACCAATCACATGACGAAGTAAAGCAAAATGAAACCAGTTCCGGATTGCTTTCGATATACTCAATTGGAAATTGATTTTAAGATAGTATTTCACGAGTAATCCCAACTAATATCAACGTTGTCGTCCCCTCGTTTACCTTAAAAGGAGTTAAAATTAAACGGCAATTTGTGCAATTTACATGACAGATTGAATCTATTATAGGTTGCCTGTGGAAAGAAGAAATCCTATTTGAGATAACTGAACCTTTGCGGTCTGTTTCTTACATCTAGACGTGCTTCGAGAGTGCTATGACTGCATTAAAAGGCCTATTAACGAGTGTCGTTTTGTCCTCACCCAATTGCAAAGGAGGGCTTCGAGTTTCGAGTTCTAATTATACAGATTTTTTTTAAACTGTGAGAATGCTCGATAACAGAAAGACCATTTAAGTATTTTCAAGGATTTAAATAAAAAATACAAACCCAAAAACAAGCATAAACGAAAACGAGCGACGGGATAAATGCTTTTCTCCGAAACTATATGGTTTTGGAAGACGTAGTTTAAAATCTGAAGAAGGCTTAGTGGAGAAAACGTGACTTTACTTTATTTTATGAGAAAGAAAACGTGAGGACCCCCAGGTAAAAGTGTAAATTACTTTATATGATTAATTGGTCGAAGACATACAATACTCGTAACAATAAATCCATTAAAGAAGCAAATATTTTCTTCTTAATGCTTCCCTGTCGTTATTTTGTAGCATAATTCTGACTACACTATCACGAAACATTCAATGTGAAATAGTTTATTGAGGAATGGTCAGTCAGTCATCCGACAACAACAATGTGTCGTAACATATACTTATTACAACATAGAATATGCTAGCAAGTCTAACTTGAAAAGCTTGAAAAATTAAGTGTACCACGCCAGATACGAAAAACCACTAAAAAACCACTCTTTAGATGTGGCCAAAAAATATGTGGAAACGTATTCCCCATCTAATGCAGTGGCACGGAACCTTGGGGAAGAGGTACAAACAAACCCATAACTCCATAGAAAAATTTTAACTAAATTGACAACAGCAAACAGAAAGACTGACTGAGCTAGAATGATTAATATTCCCCGCTAAAACATTAAATACTCAAAACTCTCACCTGAGAATACTAAAACCTCTCAATCGTGCCATCAGAATAGTAATTTCTGACTAATTCGTTCCTAGTCACTCAACCGTCAGAAATTACATTTTTCATTCGTGTGTTGTAACACAAGGGATGTCCTTAGATTACGTTGTTCTTACCCATTACGTTGGAGCGTTTATGACAACAACCTAAACATCCTGATACGAGCTCTTTGAATTTTCGAGCTTAGCTCGGCTCAAGAACTGAACATTTTCGAGTTTCGCTTGATTTATAATTTTTTTTCTTTGAGCGCGTTGTTTATTTAATTTTCTTTGATAAATTTTAAGGCCGGGAGCCATTGCTAAATTTTTCATAATTTATACACCCACTCTGCAGGTGGCAGCTTTCTTCAAAAAGCTGTTTTAACAACGTATATTATTGATCCGATACCGAATTGGCACAAATTTGTTAAAGCACTAGAGGGCTCTATTTCAATCTAAATAACGTCGCCGAATCGCGGTTCTTGAAAGCATAACCGCATTAATTATTTAAGACGAGAGGCTGTATTTAATCAAGTAACATTTATATGCCCTAAGAGATGCATGAGTAGAGTTGGAGGTGTTCAGTGAGGTCACCTCACATCGAAGCCGTCTGTAAGTCCAGCTATATCTTTGTGCCGCGTGGTTAGACGAGGTTAACTGTAGAAGCCACGAAAAAGAAGAAGAAGTGTCCCGTAACTCTAGATAAGTCGTTTTGTCAAGGAAATCGATGTCCACACTATAGCCTTTGAAAGGCTTAGGATAAAGAGACGCCTGCATTAGAGTTGTATTAGACCTAAATCGACTCGAGATTATGGTGGATACTTAAGCCCTGTGGAGATGAAACTTTATCTGTGTTTCATAACAGCATTCTTCCAGTCGGTTTGCCCATTAGGTAAGATAACAAATCTATGCCGGCATGTTCCAAAAATTAAAATGCTAAGTCTGACTCAGTTTTTGTTGCCATAATGAAGAATATTTGATCAGTACGTTTTTTAATATACATAGAGAATATTTAAAATATTTGGGGAGTTGCGCGTGCATGAGATAAAATTGAGACTGCAACCCAGATAACAATGAGGTTAGAGGTAATTTCTCTGTATTTCCAATTTTAATTTACATTACATCATGCAAAGTCAGCGAGAAAACATAGCGTAGCGAACAATAGCAATCATATTCGGTGAGCGTAACATCTTTCTTAATGGAGGGGTTGATCGCACTTGCATTTTAGCCGTACCAAAAAATGTGAAAAACAAAACAAAAAAAGCATTTCTTGACTTTTATTTTTATTTCACAAATAAATCTACCATGACGGCTCGGCGATGATTGCGAGCTTATTACTATGATTTGTGATACATTCGCATTGCAAATGTGATCGTTCTTCGTCTTCATCTACGTAGCGAACGAATGGTTCTTAATTTCGCTCATTTTGCTGAGAGCGTGCTTCTATTTGGGGTTTTAACTCTGAAATTGTTTCATCTAGAGATTGCTTTTATTTTTCTTCACCTCGCTAATCTGTGAATCACTGCTTCCATTTGGCGTCGAAGTGTTGTTTTCCTCAGTGGCCACGCTGCTGTGATTACGGTGGGATAAATTCCTTTTTGCTACCGCTGTAAAAATGGACTTTAGTTGGGACTGCATGCCCAAATACTTCGGCTGCACCTATAAATTTAGGATCTGTGAAAGATCCTAAGTACCTCTGCAAAACGGGAGAGATGGGTAAAGTGCGGTTTTACGGTCACTCTTACCTATCCCTTGTTTTGCCTTCGCTCTTCACTACAAAAGCGGCTTGCTCTGAGCGAGGCTTAAATTGCGAGACCTCATGTAGATGTTCAATGCCAGATGTGGTGCTGTGTATTGAGTATTCAACTAACATGCCAAAGTCGAAAATAATTATAATTATTATAATATTTACACCTGTGAGAATCTTATCCCATAACAGTAAATAGGAAACGTTGGTATTAATTACTCGAGCTCCTAGTCAGCTTTTTTTAACTTGGGGTTTGAACACATGCTGAATTTTCAGCGTTCACTATTCTTAAGTCTCTTTTATATCGGCAATTAACTATTCTTTATTTTTTTTTAAGAGGGCACGGTAACGAATCCTGCAATCTGATTGGTTCTTTACCCGGTCAGTATTTTCCTATCTCTGCCCACGGGCCACGGTAACGCTTTCGTGAGTCGCCGAGTACATCCCAACTTTCGTTGCCATTTTTCATAAATATACCTCGTTTTTCCGGCTGGGCAGTATTTTTTAGCAAACACGTCGGTCACTACCTCAAGCCGATAAATAACTTATGAATCCTCTCTTTTCTCTCTATCAAATCACTTTGGTTGACAGAAAAATATTGGTTTCAGAATGAATTTGTATAAACAATAGTGTCATTACGTTGGTTGACAAGCGGCCTAAAAACCGTCTGCAATTAATTTTAATCGTTCACAAAAAGTACCCAGAAAGTTGAAACGTGAAGTATTTGGTTACAGTTAAACTGAACGATGGAACTTTCATTCATTTACTATCTGAATTTTCTCGAGCAATTTGTTCATAGTGAAAGAGCGAGCGAAGTTTTAATTTAAGTTCTACAACAAATATACGCTCCTGGTGAGTCTTTCCAATTCCGTTCAATTTAGACATTTGTACCTTAAATTGCACAACAGAAATTGAAGGAATTTTTTGAGAAAAGGCCGCATTACATTCCCTTGTGTCTCGTTGGAGTGTGCCGTTCGAATTTAGTTTTTGTGAAGGAAAGATCAGGGTTAAACACGCCATTGCATCAAACAAACGAGCAAACTCTCACAACTTCAAAATAAAAAAATTGAATTTACTCACAATTACTTTCCTCGCCGTTTACTTAATGAACAGAGGTAAATCTTCGTACGCGAATGAATCGTCGATGAGACTGAATAATACTTTCCGTTAGATCATTGACTGTTTTTGAAGAAAACATTGTCGAGACAGTCCTTGCCAAACTAGTTCCGTTGGTTTTCAAATGTTCCTACGCTTTTTTTTTTCTTTTCTTACTTCT